AGTTTTCTACAAGTAGTTAACCAATTTTGCCAGCATCATTTACTGAAGAGGCTGTCTTTCTTCCATTCTATTGTTTTAGCTCCCTTATCGAAGATTAGATGGCTATAGGTCTGTAGGTTCATGTCTGGGTTTTCAATTGTATTCCATTGGTCATGAGGTCTGTTCTTGTGCCAATACCAAGCTGTTTTGATTACTATGGCTTAATAGTAGAGTTTGAAATTTGGTATTGATATTCCTCCAGCAGTCTTCTTTCTGTTGAGGATTGATTTTGCTATTTGGGGTCTTTTATTGTTCTATATAATTTTTGGATTGCCTCTTCTATTTCCTTGAAGAATGAGGTTGGAATATTGATAGGTATCACATTGAATTTGTAGATAGCCTTGGGAATTATTACCATTTTCACGATGTTGATCTTACCAATCCTGGAGCATGGAAGTTTTTTGCCACTTTCTAAGTTCTGTTTTGATTTCCTTTTTCAAGTTTTTAAAGTTTTCATCATAGAGGTCCTTACGAATGGAGTTGCTTTCCTAATTTCACCCACACTATTCTCATTGTTTGCATACAGAAAAGCCATTGATTTTTGTGGGTTAATTTTATACCCTGCTACTTCGCCAAAGTTTTGAACCAGCTTGAGCAATTTTGGAGTGGAATCTTTGTGATTCTTTAAATACAAGATCATGTCATCTGAAATGAGGGAGAGTTTTACTTCGTCTTTCCCTATTTGGATCCCCTTTATGCTTGCATCTTGTCTTATTGCTGCAACTAGGCATTCTAATACTAGATTGAAGAGAAGTGGAGAGAGTAGACATCCTTGTCTTGTTCCTGAGTTAAGAGGAAATGGATTTAGTTTTTCACCATTAAGTATAATGCTGTCTGTAGGTTTGTCATATACAGCCTTTATTGTATTGAGGAATGTTCCAAGGATTCCTAATTTTTCCTGAACCTTCATCATAAAGGGGTGTTGGATCTTGTCAAATGCTTTTTCTGCATCTATTGAGATAACCATGTGGTTCTTATCCTTGCCCCTCTTAATGTGATGAATTATATTAATTGATTTGCGTATATTGAGCCAGCTTTGCATCCCTGACATGAATTCTTTGATCATGGTATATGAGTTTTTGGATGAATTGTTGAAGTCGATTGGCCAAAATTTTGTTGAGAAGTTTTGCATCAATGTTAATCAAAGCAATGGGTCTATAGTTCTCTTTCTTTGATGAGTCCCTGCCTGGTTTTGGGATGAGGGTTATGATGGCTTCATAGAATGTGTTCGGTAGTGAACTTTCTCTTTCAATTTCATTGAAGTATTGGAGGAATATTGGTGTGTGCTCTGCTTTGAAGGCCTTGTAGAATTCCGCTCTAAAGCCCTCTGGTCCTGGGCTTTTCTTAGATGGTAGGTCTCTTATTGCTGTTTTTTTTTCAATGCTTGATATGGGCCTGTTAAGCTGGTTTAACTCATCTTGGTTTAGTTTTGGCATGTCAATATTTGCTAGGAAAAGGTCCATTTCTGCCAAGTTCTCAAACTTATTAGCATAAAGTTTTGAGAAATATTCCCTTAAAATGTTCTGAATCTTGGTTTTTTCTGTGGGGATATTTCCATTCTCATCTCTGAGTTTATTTTTTTGGGAGTGTTCTCTTCTTTTTCTGGTAAGATTTGCTAAGGGTCTGTCAATTTTGTTAATTTTTTCAAAGAACCAACTCTTTGTTTTTTTATTCTTTCTATGTTTTTTTTTTAAATTCTAATTCATTTAATTTTGATTTAATTTTAATTATTTCTTTCTGTCTACTGGATTGGGGTTTATCTTGCTGCTCTTTTTGCAGGAGGTTCAGATGTCTCATTAAGTTGTTGGTTTCAGATCTCTCCAATTTGTTGATGTAGGAACTCAGAGCTATAAACTTGCCCCTGAGTACTGCCTTTGCTGTGTCCCAGAGGAGCTGGTAATTTGTGTGTTCATTTTTGTTGAATATCATGAGCCTTTGAATTTCCTCTCTAATCTCTTCCATGACCCACTCATGATTCAGCAGTGTGTTGTTCAGCCTCCATTTGTTACAGGACTTTCTTTGGTGGCTTTTGGTGTTAAGTTCTAATTATATTCCCTTGTGGTCTGAGAGAATGCAAGGCATAACTTCAATGTTTCTGAATTTGGACGTTTGCTTTTTGGCTTAAAATGTGACGTATTTCAGAAAATGTTCCATGTGCTGCTGAGAAAAACTTGTATTCTGATACTACTGGGTGAAATATTCAGTTAATGTCTGTTAAATCTTTTTGATGTATGCAGTTGTTTAGATCTGCAATTTCTCTGTTGAGTGTTTGCTGAGTTGATCTATCTAGTGGGGAAAGTGGTGTGTGAAAGTCCCCAACAATTAATGTCTTTGGATCCATATGGGATTTGAGGGAAAGTAGTGTTTCTTGGATAAATTTGGGTGCTCCATTGTTTGGCGAATAGATATTTAGAATTGTAATATGCTCCTGAAGGAGAGATTCCTTAATTTATATGTGGAGACCTTCTTTATCTCTTCTCACGAATTTTAATATTAAGTCTATTTTATCTGATATTAGGATTGCATCTCCCACCTGTTTATGGAGGCCATTTGCTTGTAGATTTTGTTCCAGCCTTTCACATTGAAAATGTGTTTGTTTTTATGGGCAAGATGTGACTCCTGTAGACAGCAGATAGAAGAATCTAACTAGTCAGTCTATGTCGCCTAATTGGAGAGTTAATTAAGTCCGTTAATGTTGAAAGATAGGACTGAGTGGTATTTGGGAGTTTCTGCCATTTTATCCACCTTCTTGCGATTCAGCAGTCCTTAAAAGAACTAGGAAGACATAAAACAGGGAAAGGTAACCAGGGCAATGACATTGGATTAAATACTGTATATTATGCCTCAAAGTTGAGTAACAAGGAAAGTCAGGAACTAAATGAGACAAACATAAATTTTTGTAGCAGATTGATATGTAATTTGGTGTACCATGGAAGAAAAATGACACTTGCACAGTATATGAGAAATGAATTGGGTAATAGGCCCTTTATGCCCTTTGTGTAAGCTTGCTAAGTTGTATTCATTTAAAAGCACAGTTTGTCTTATCTTGATGGAGCACCTCACTATTGCAAAGTTAGTAAAAGTCATTGTTTACGTTAAATTTGTTAGTTTGATATAATTTTTCTAATGTCTCTCTGAATCTCATAAATTTTTGTTGTTAGGTTATTGAATATAGTATTTTGTCAAAGGCCATATTTTTCAGCTTTGTAAGGTGTTATTTTAGTACAAGACAACATCACCATCTTTGGCAAAATAAAAAGTGGTATTTACAATATATGTGTTGGATGACTTGAAAACAACTCTATCCTAATGTTCTATGACATATAAATATCTTTGTTATGATGATAAGTGTATACTAACTATATTATATCTAAGATGGGGACTACAAACTTTGTATCGTATTGCTGTATAGATAAACATTAGCAGTAGCCATTTGTGAATTGTTTGGACTGCGGTAAAGAATGTTTAAATGTAATAAGGTATGCTAAGGCTTCAAATTGGCCTCAACTCATCAGTTAAAACCAAAAATCAATCTGAGAAAATGACAGCCTAGATTCAAAGGTGGCAAGTTTTATTAGTATACCCACCCCAGAGAATGAAATACTGGCTATTTAACCTGATTTTAAAAGTAGGATGGGGAAAAATATCTACAGAGAGTGGTGTACTTTGTTCCTTATGAGTTCTCAGGAGCTGTGGAAATGCTAATAAATATTTCATCTCTCAGCAGTTTACCTCTTACCTTTGGCATGCTGAGCATAGACTTAATTCATCCTGTACAGTCTTAATTCTATAAGTTGCTACGTTAGATCTTAGTGGTATAGATTTTCCTAGGCAATGTAAGCTTTAAGAGCAGGGGTTAATGCAAAGTGCTGCGAATAGGATCTAAACTGGAAATTGATCACGTATGGCTTTAATGTTAGGCCATAACTACACTGGGAAAGTTAATGCAAAATAGCTTTATATTATTTCATGAAAGTGCATATGCTGTTATGTAAATTATTCCTGGCAATTAAATTGTCATTAGGAAATGTAGCAAGTGATAGTATTTCCAAAAAGTGCACATTTTAAACCTGATCTTTGTTTTCCAACAGTTCAAGGCCTGGCAGGCCTCCTAAGCGTTCTTTGGGAGTGTTACAAGACAACACCCGCCTTTTGCCCCACGCAGTTCCAGGCCTGTTATCACCAGGACTTATCACTCCAACAGGTAATAAACAATCCATCCAATGATAAACCTTGTCTCTTCTTACTCCCTAGAATATTAAATGAACTAATATTGATCTAACTGCCTTGTCCTTCAAAGCTTTTCAAACTCTGTTAGAGGTTACATTATTGAATTTTTTGAGTATTCATGAAAACAAGTTTTGTTATTTATATGCCTAATGTCAAGTAGACAAGCTTTTTTTTAAAAAAAACAATCATATTCTTGCAGGAAATCCATTTAAAGTTTCTTTTTGTTATATATGCTTATGTATTTATATGTTGGAGTCTGGGATGGTGGCTTTGGCCAAAATAGAAGGGGAAAAAGAATCCATACATTTTGTACCAGTCCCTACTCTAGGTTAAAAAACTACAAGGAAACTACTAATTAAGATGCATTATAAACCGGTAGCTGGTGGCTCATGCCAGTAATCCTAGCTACTCAGGACGCTGAGATCTGAGGATCATGGTTCAAAGACAGCCCCAGCAGTTAAATCTGTGAGACTCTTATCTCCAATGAACCACTAGATACCCAGAAGTGGCACTGTGGCTCAAATGGTAGAGCGTTAGCCTTGAGCTGAAGAGCTAAGGGACAATGCCCAGGCCTAGAGTTCAAGCCCCACTACTGACCAAAAAAGGGGCATTGTAATTAGAACAGAAAAGTGCAGAGTCATTGTCCTGAAACATGTTTTGGTGATTTTCATGGAACATTGCTTTAAAATGTTAAAAACCTCAGTCTCATAAATTATTACTACAAGGACAAAAATACTTGAAGAGTAAGCTTATTACTTCTTTAGTTGAGCATTTAAATACAATGAGGTTGGTTATATTGTTGAGAACGAATGCAAAGACTTGGAGACCATTGCATTCACCATAAATAGTATAAGTATTTATAAGCTCCTGGTATATTTGAGTTTTAATTCCTAGGTAGTGTAAAACTATATGAGCATTGTTCCAATTTACTGGAGGATCAGGAAAAATATAAACTAATAATTTCATTAAATCATCATAGAAATTGTAATTGAAATGGATGTAGTGGTATTAGCTCACAAAGATGGAAGCAGCTAAATAAATTTGGTAGATTGGGTAATAGTTATTCTGAAGACATGAAAGTAGTAGACTTTTGAGTGTGTGTGAAGGTAGCTTCTTTATATTTAGCCATTGAAGTCAATCACTACAGTACAGTGGCTTCCTTATTTTAGAACCTTCTCTTGTGGATATTAAATTGTGGAAAGTAATTGAGGCTTCACACTTCGACCTCAGAGTTTCATATGTTCTGGTTTTCACAGGCTTTTGTTTTGTTAAAAATCTATTTATAGATAAAAAGAAGTAGTACTAATTGAGTAACTATTCTAAAATCAATTGCTATGGTGGGTAAATTGCAATGAAGGTAGAGAAGGACAGTCCTTTAGTACTATTCAGCGAACAATGAGCATCTGAATGAATGAATGAAGAAATGAATGAATGGAAAAGAGTTCAAGAGTGCTTTCGTAATTAAACATATGAAATTTCTTGAATGTAGATGGAGAGAGGGTGGTTCCAGAATGATTTATGTCTAGCTTGCCTAACAGATATCTAGTTTGTGTGACAGATGTCTAGTGCAGATAATGGTATTATTACCTGAGATAGACAATTTCAGAATAGACTTAGGCTTTTTGGGGAAAGACAACAAACTGTTGACATTGTTTACATACAAGTTCTTATAGGAGATAAATGTACCTTGCACTGATAAATGAATATGGAAAATATAATAATGGCTGAAATATATCTTGGTGCTATATAAATGATTTTTTTGCCTTCAAAAGTATAATACTAGAGTCTAGGAATACCACCATGTAAATATTCAAATCTGCCTAGGTTTTGAGGGAATAAATGTGTGTAGATGAATGAATAAAATTAATTTTTTATGTTTCCATGGTTCCCATTATGACATTTTCATAAATGTATACAGCGTATTTTTGTCATGTTTGCCCACTCCAGAATGAAAGTAATTAAAAGGTACTTTGATAATTGACACTTGAGTAAACACTGGGAGCTTTTATCTATTGAGGAAAAGCTCTAATATATAGAAATTTAATGGCTTCTATTATGTGTCAGGCCTGGGTACTAAGTATTTAGATATACTTCATTCAATCCTCATAGTAATTTTATGGACATTGTCTTCATTATTCAGGTAAGCAGTTATGGATGACTGAATTCACATTAATTACTTAAAGATATAAATTTAGTTAAATTATTTTAAATCGTTTAAGAAATCACTTTATTTTTTGTTTTATTGGTTGTGGGTGTTGAACTCTGGGCCTGGGCTCTGTCCCTCAGCAATTCAGCTCAAAGCAAGTGTTCTACCACTTGAACCACAGTGCAACTTCCAAAACTTAAGTTTTTATCCCAAGCCCTATTTACTTGGCATCCTGTAAAACAAGGAATCTTCCTACTTGAATTTTGAATTCAATTCCAAATTTCCTTTGGGCCTAAAATTAAATTTCCATCTATCCTACAGAATTTAATTCAATTCTGAATTTCCTTCTGTCCTACAATTTAGAATTGCCACTAAGTGTGGTTTGGGGACAAAATGCAAATTTTAATCATTTATTTCTAGAATGGAAATGCAGAGATTGTGAGGTAGCTGAGTGGACAAAGTGATGGGCCTATCTGTTGGAGAAACAGACACAAAGAAAATTTGCCTCCTTCATGTGTATGAATTCATTTCATATGCCTAAAAGTACCTTACTAATAGTCAACTACTAGAAGAAAAATGTGGTGGAAAGACAAGTAGAAACAATCGTATGATTATTTGTTGTTTTGAATTAGATCAACCACTTCTACTCTTCTGTTATCAGACATAATTCAGGTAATATTAGCTCTTATTGTTAATTTGGTATATTTACCTTCTCCTAAAACTGTTACATATCATTTAGAGCTACTTTTCAAGAAATCAGTTGATATTTTTAATGTACTCTCTCAGCAGTCTAGAGTTATCCTTTCCCCCTCTCCCCACCAACGTGTTTTACAATTTCTGATTTCAGGTTCTTTTGTCTTAAAATGATTTTTGATGCAAGGCATTATAACATATCTGTTTATATTTGCATCAATTACAAGTGATTTGTTAATGCCTGTTGCTACATATTTTTTCAGATGTCATGTTTATAGAATAACATGTTTGAACTTTGCTTGATTTGCTTAAACAACAGATTTGGTTTGACATTTGTTTCCATTATTTTTACCTTTATGACATGAAAATGAGTTCTAAAAATGTTATAAAGGAGTGATCACCATGTGCCTTTTCTGGAATAGTGTGTTTTGTTTACCTCCAAATTGATTTTCTCTCAGATTCAAAACAAATACATGCCAGTGAAAGGAGTTAGAAATAGTTATGAGATTAATATTAGATTTAGGAATAGCCTTACAACTATAGCTTGACATATTAAAATGTAAAGACAGTATATCAGGTAAGTTGAAATTTTCATTTACAAAATATAAAAGTAAGATCTTTTCTGTTTTATCTGATTTCATTTATTTTGTAATTTGTATTTTTCTTTTAATATCAAATGTATTAATTTTCTCTGGAATATCTGTCCTGTATAACAAAACCTTATTCAACCTTAACTAGTATAGAATTTTTGATAATTTGGCTAATGTTATGCTTAGGTGACAAATACTAGTTTATAAAATCCCTTGCTTAAGCAAATGTATCCACAAGAAGTATATGTATATCTGTCTGTGAGATTTTGTTCATTATGTCTGCACATTAAAATACTTGCAGGAATTTAGATATCTAAATCATTTCACAAATGTATTTTGTAAAACATTCTAAGCATACTAATTACTTATGATTGGTCATTATTCATTAAGAGTAGTCCTAGTATCTATTATTTACAATATTGTCAGATATTAATCTATGTAACTGAAGAAAAAGAGAGTGTCAATATACATATAGATGGAGGTATATGTTTAACTATTTTTTAATTTACCAAATAGCTACTGTATGCCAAACAATGCAATAAAATATAATACTAGGACAAAGTTAATTTTGTGAGTCAGAATTTTTCAAATTGCCCCAGATATTTTAGATTATTTCCAATTGCTCATGTTTGGCTATACTTCCTTTCTATATAATAGGGCTATCAATATTCTCATTGTATAATTAATACCACAATTCCCTAACAGAGCATCAATACACACAATTTTTTTCTTTCCTTTTTTTTTGTCTGTCATGGGGTCTGAACTCAGGGCCTGGGTACTGTCCCTGAGCTCTTTTGTTCAAGGCTTGTACTCTACCACTGAGCCACAACACCACTTCTGGTTTCCTGGTAGTTACTTGGAGATAATCTCACAAAATTTCCTGCCTGGGGTGGCTTTGAACCATGATCCTCAGATCTCAGCCCCCTGAGTAACTGGGTTTACAGGCATTGAGATACATACCGCTGGCCACAAGTTTTATATTTTAGTATTTGCTATGAAATTTTTGTTGGCTAATGGACAAAACACCCATGTATTACTCCCATCTTTCTGTAGAAGAGCTATATGTCCTTACATCATACAGAAGGGATGGATTTGTCCTGTGTATCTTCTAAATTTCCCCTTTCCTTAGCTGATGGAACATTTCAAATGGACATGGAATCTGGCTTAAGAGAAACTTAACTCGCTGCTTACAAGAAAGTCAGATGAAATTCCTATATTTTTTTTCCATTTCTTTAAAAGGTAGTGGGTTTTTCAATTGTTATTCTTTTCTTCTTGCTATGTTGTGGCAAAATACTTTAAGAATGTCTTCTACCATCCAACCTTCAGATAACTGAGCTCATGAAGATTCAATCCAGTTAGAATAAATACAGTGTTCCACTCAGGAATCATAGGGTCACGACAATTATGCCTAATTTTGGTGTTGCGATGTCCCACTCATGGTATAACAATGGTAACTATTCTGAATGTATCATTGGAATAAGTATCCCCTCTTTTTATGATGTATTTCATTTCTCACTCATTTTAATTTGGATGGTAAGAATTGCT